CATAGATAGGGTTAGGGTTAAGGAAGAATCTCTGGTTAAATGTGGAGAAATATTTGGGGAAATAGGTAGATCACCAGACTAGGTTGGTGCTTTGCTACCAAGATTTGTTCTTAATGAAACTGACCTGTTTCATATGGTATTTGGAGTGCTTATTGGGGAATGGAGTTTTAGTGGGAAATAGAAAATCCCCATGCTATGGTTCCAATTCAGGTCAGATTAATTTTTAAAACATTAGTAAGAAAACATGTACATTTGGGGGAGATCTATATGTGAAAGAACCTATTTCCATAGTTATTATCTTAGAAATTATCCCTTAATCCAAGCACTTGGTGCATTTATCATGAAAAGTCTGCTCACCCATGCAAGCTATAACTACTTTTAGGGTACATCTCCCTACTCTATGTCTTCCTCTAGAACACACAAACACACTGCATACAGCTGTTCATTTCAAAAATAAATTATGGGACAGATAGTGTCTACCAATACCAGTCAAAAGGCACTGTGGAATATTCTATTATTCTCTCCCCTTAATACATGGGGGGGGGGCAGAAAATAAAAGATGCAGTAGGGAAATACCTCAGGTTTCTGTGCCATGGTGGCAATGTCTGTGATCTTCAGCCTTGCCTAAATACCCTCAAGACACCAGGATCCTGTCTGATCTTGGAAGCTAAGCAGGGTCAGTCCTTGGTTAGTACTTGGATAAGAGACCATCAATACATACAGGGTTGTAAACTCTGTTTCAGAGGAGGGAATTAGCAAAACCAGCTCTGAGCATTCCTTGCCTAAGAAAACCCTCTGAAAAATTAATTGTAAATCAACAGGTGTCTTGAAGACACTCACACCCACACTATGATTTCTATTGTGCAATCCATGAATTGGGCAGAGTTCAATACAACAATGTGATCCCATGCCTCCACCCCATGTTTTTCCTTGCCACTGGCACCCTGGATTGCTGGACTTACAACTAACATGGTGGCGTGATTAGTATTGGCCTAGAACTTCTCAGATCCAGGTAAATCTCCCCATAAATCATTAAACTCACTTGGATCAGTCAGTACTCTCTCAGCCTGACCTACCTCACATGCTTGTTCTGAAGATAAAATTCACAACAGGAAAAGGGCTGCGTAAACTACCTTGATCCCAAAAGTTGTTGGCTCTATATCCTGCAGGCATGCAGCAACAAAAACAAAAACTAGGCCCAATAGAGAAGCCAACTATCAACACAGCCTGAGGTGCTTGACCTCAACAGTAGCTATTTACACAGCTGATTGCAGAAGCACAAATTCAATTAGTAGTATTTGGCAATGTTGCACTGATGCACAGACACAGTTGGATTCTTCCAAAAGTCCTTGGAGGCTTTTATCACTTCTTGCAATAGGTCGAAGTTATATACAAACTCTCTCCAACATTCACTGTCTGATATACAGCAATTCACTCTCTTCAAACAACTCACCAACCACAACTCTTCTCTCTTCAATCCACACCTGCCCTGGTTTTTAGAGCACTTATATACAGTGGTGACTAAGAGTTGAAGCCTGGTGTTACTTTTCATTTGCAGCCATACAAACTATTTTACACTGTAGTTTTTTTGTGAGTTTTTCGGGCTGTGTGGCCATGTTCTAGAAGAGTTTCTTTCTGACGTTTCGCCAGCATCTGTGAAAGAAACTCTTCTAGAACATGGCCACACAGCCTGAAAAACCGAGAAAAAACTATGGATGCCGGCCATGAAAGTCTTAGAATTCACATATTTTACAATGTCTTAAAGGAACATTATTCCCAACAAAAGTGTGGTACAAAAATACATAGCAACTGCATACAGACAAGACAAACATTTTTCACACTGCAGTTGGCAGACTGAGACACAAAGTTTGATGTTTTGATATATTTGATGGAAGCCACAAAAAAATATTACTATCCAGGACAACTTTTATTACATTTTTGTTTTCAATCAGCAGCTATTTCACCTCACAACCAAAGGTCCCTTACAGTCTAGTTCTTAGACACAAGCGCATTGCCAGTGGCATTGAGTCTTACTGACAACATTATTATTGTTTTTAAATTGGTAAGCCTTAAATTTGTCTCTGCTGTGTCCTCGGTGCCACCAAACATGCAGGGGACAAATGAAACCCTCACCTCATAAACTTTCATTTCATTTCATAAACAGCCTTCATTTCTGTCTTCTCATCCCAGTTCTCACATATAGAGAGACACAGGCAGGCAAGAAGAGGTTCCAAAAAGAAACAAAAACTGAAAGCATTGAAAGCACAGAAGCTGACCTTCCCAGGTTCTTCTCTTCCTCTCTCTCTTACAAGCCTGCAGCATTTTTATCTGGTTGAGGGGAAAATAGCAATAGCAATAGCAAGTACATTTCTATACTGCTTATCAGTGAACTAGCACTCCCTCAGTGGTTTACAGTGTGTAAGCCAATTGCCCCCAACAAGCTGGGTACTCATTTTACCAACCTACGAAAGGATGGAAAGCTGAGTGGACCTTGGAGCCCTCTTCTAGGATCGAACTCACAACCTTGTGGCTACAGTATTGGCATTTAATAATAATAATAATAATAATAATAATAATAATAATAATAATAATAATAATAATAATAATAATAATAATAAATAAATAAATAAATAAATAAAATTTATTTGTATCCCGCATCTCTCTAGATACAACTGGAGAGGCACGATAAAACAAACAATCCTGTCCCCCAATCCTGTCTATATATCAATCTGTGTGTGAGAATGTCCATGTTGTTGTTGCTGTTGTCTGCTTCCAAGTCATTTTTGACCTATTATAACCCTAAGGTGAACCTACCACAGGTTTTCTTGGCAGGTTTCTTTCGAGGGGGTTTGCCATGGCCGCTGAGGCTGAGGATGAGAGAGTGTGACTTGCCCAAGGTCACCTAGTGGGTTTTCATGCCCAAGCAGGGAATCAAACCCTGATCTCCAGAGTCTAGTCCAGTGTTCAGACCTCTATACCACACTGGCTCTCTATGTCCATAGAATGTCCATAGGAATGCAATAATTTTGTGAGTGTGGAGACAAGGTGACAAGTTCTGTTTTAATGATGGTCGATGGGAGACAAGGCAAGGATGTTGCCTAAAGCCAAAATTAGTGGATAACTATATGCATGAGTATTGGGATACAGTGTAGGAGCCAAAAAGAAGATGTCATGAACTGGCCAAGAGAGACTCCATGAGACTGCCTGGTTAGCTAGTGTTATAATGTGTGCAGTGTGCCAGGGACTGGCCGGTTTGCTTCATCACTCTACATTGGGTAAACAGGCCAGTCCATGTGCCAGAGAATAAATGGACATAAATCAGACATTACGGGGGAAGCAGACTGGCGGC